CGAGGAGGCAGGAAGCAAGTGGGCACACAAAGGAAGAACCGGGTCCGGAATAATGATATACGGGATAGAGTTGGGGTAGCACCTATTCAAGAGAAGCTTGTCCAACATCGTCTGAGATGGTTTGGGCATATTCAGCGCAGGCCTTCAGAAGCTCCAGTGCATAGCGGACGGCTAAAGCGTGCTGATAGTGTCAAGAGAGGTCGGGGTAGACCGAACTTGACATGTGAGGAGTCTGTAAGGAGGGATCTGAAGGACTGGAGTATCACCAAAGAACTAGCCATGGACAGGGGTGCGTGGAAGCTAGCTATCCATGTGCCAGAACCATGAGTTGGTTGCGAGATCTTATGGGTTTCAGCTCTAGCCTACCCCAACTTGTTTGGGACTAAAGGCTTTGTTGTTGTTGTTGTTGAGGCAGGAAGCGAGTGATACAATGGCGACTGCTCGGCAGCCCGCGATCTCTGGTGCATTTTATTTAAGTCAGGTTGTGGTTCAGGCGTTGGTAGTAGTCCTTGTCGAAGTTCCCCGTCGTCAACGAAAGTGTACACTTTCACCACCCCTCCGCTTGCAGTCTGGGCTATCAACCAGCTTCCAATACAGTTTCATCCTCCTCCATCACTTGGCCGATGACGAGCCCATGGCAGCTCCAAATGACCTGTTTATGGAAGCAGCTGCTGCAGCTCCCAAGCTTCTGGCGAGGAATGGAGGCGACGAGGCACAAGGGAAGGACGATTGTGAGGTGTATTTTTTGAACTGTATGTGCCACGCAAGCCAAGTCCAGGGTGCCAAACAAGTGTTTTGTGAGATATTGGACTAAAGTGCCCCGCAAGCCAAGTTGTTGTACTGCGGGCATTATTTACTCTTAAAATTCTGTGTTGGATTTTGGGAACCATGCTAAGGATTGTCCAGTGCTTGCATGAAACAACATTGGTATTTGCACCTTCATGCACTCACAGTTTACCAATAATATTCTATTTCTATATCAAGTTTGCTATCTATCCAAACCGTTGGTTCCCAACTGCATTGTTAAGTGGGGTGAGGTGTTTTCCCTCATTTGAGGAAAAAAAATTATCTGCTGTAGCTTGATTTATTGGATTGTGTTTAATGAATTAATTAACTAAAATTTATTCCAGGAATAAAAATCTATGCTGATAGTTCTGCATTAGAAGCGGAATCACGGAGGCTTGCATTACATGACCAAGTGCCATCAAACATTTACCTCAGCAAGGTCTTATTCTCTGAAGGATCTTTGTCCTCAATTGCAATTTTGAACAACTTGCTGCAACTGCTTGATTTGCTAATTCTGATCTGTCAACCCTTTCCGGGTTTCTACTGTACCGCCATATGTCAGTCCCTGATCTATATTTAGTACGCTGCTTACCTGTATGGCTGTATTTGACTGATACCATGTTATATTGTGCAGGAGTATAGCCGATATGACCGACAAATTGGAAAGTCTATCAGTAAACTTATGCCAACTACCGACAGTGTCAAGTGAGTATACAACTAACAAATACTCCCTCCGTCCCAAAATAAGTGTCTTGACCTTATTACAACTTTGTACTAGAGTTAGTATAAAGTTGAGACACTTATTTTGGGATGGAGGGAGTACAATACTCCTTAAATGCCAGAGTTCAGTTCAGATAAGGACACTTAAAATACAAGAAAGCTACCATTGTGACAACCTGGAACTAACTTGACAAGGGCTGTTGGAAAATTGAAGAATCATCCACAATTCCACATTGATGCCATATTTTTAAGAAATGACAACCATAATACATGCAGTAAGGCATCAAGGTTAAAGTTACTAGACAATACCTCGCGTGTTGCTGCAGCAATCCTCTATTCTTAAATGCATAAATAAGTGCTAAATAAACTAAAACTAATGTAAAAGCATTTTGCATGAAGTTCCTAAGAAGACATGCATGAGTTGATGAGGTGGCGTGTTTTGCTTGAATATTAATGCCAAAAAAGTAACTTATGACTATGGAGAGGAAAATTAGATAGTGGGTTGCAACTATTTAGGAATAGAGGATTTCCAATGCTTTGGGGTCCTTCACAAATATTTTTGTATCACTTTGGATTAAAATAGTGGGAACAGCTGTCTCTTAGACTGATATGCAAACTTACTACCAGTAACTTGTTTCTTCAAGAAAAATGCTTGTTTCTGTTGTTGAGTGACAGAAAGAGGAATATCAAATGCAGTAACTAATTAGTTATTCATATACCCTAGTTAAATCAAGTGGTAATTCCTTTTTGTAAACAATCACAATGGTTCTAAATGAATGCCACATCGGAAGTGGTTCAATATGCTCTCACCAGAGGTGAAATGATTGCTATGCATAGAAAATTGAGGGACTGAATTGTGATATGTTCATTGGAAAGATAATATATATATATATATTGAAGTGATTCAATATGGTTTGGGAAATGAGAAGCGGGCTACATCACTGTTTTATATGCCACCAGAATAATCTGGCATTCCTTACTGTCATATTAGCAATTCAAGTTAATGTTTATCAGGCATAATCCATCATTAGCTTGCACCATTCAATTATTGCTCAAGTTGTGGATGCTTGCTTCTAAGCATCTGTTGCTGTCAATTTTACCACCATGCCTGCATGGTTGTCAGTTCTGATTTATTGTTCCCTTGTCTTCTTTCTTTCTTAATTGCTTGTGCATGATAAATACAAATACTAGTTAGTTTGTTCATACCTGTTGCTGGTTAGGTCAACATTTGGTATGAGTTCTTATTTAACTTGAATCCTTGCTTAATTGTTCCTTGCAGGGCCAGGGCTAGTGAGCTTATTAAAGCTTTAGATGGACAGGATTGTCCTCGTCCAATCGCTTGTCGTTTATTTGCAGACAAGGTAGCTACATGCCTACATTTATCTGCTATATTTTCTTTTTAGAAAACATCATGATATATGTCTGGCTTATCAAACCAGTCCACGGGCCTATAGAATGATCATGCGTTCATGGTTATTGGCAGGATTGGTTCTATTTAAGTATCAGTAGAGTTACATATGTAAATGAAAACTTAAGCACTTGCTTTAGAAACATGAATCATTAGCAAATCATGGTTTTCTTGTTTATGTACTTTAGCTGGTGCGTTGATGGTGACACCTTCTGTTTTGGGGAGAAACATGGTATTACTAATTGATTTGTTATATTTACATAGTCTTTATACTACAGTCTAGATGGTATGTTTTCTGTAGCTGCTGATATCTTGTTTTGAACATAGTTACGCACCCATGCATGAATTGAAACTAGCATTGTGGAAAGTTACGTGACTTTTACTCATATTGACCCATTTTCTCAATATTGTACACTTCAATAATTACGTGATATTACTTTACAGATGATTTCAATAGTCAAGAGTCGGAATCCGACGGACAAAACCTTTGGAAAATTGGCCTTTGCTTGTGGATATGTCATGCTACTAGTTACCAATCAGGTATCTTTTTCGCTTTGCAGAGTGTTACTGCTCATTAGTCATTACTGAGTCTGAGTGGATTGATCACTACAATTTGCTATTTTGTTGGTGTCATTTCAGTATATGTAACAGGCAACATGACTATATAATTAAGTAAATCTGAAAACTCTTAACTTTCTGAACAGATAATATGTGGATAATTCTTTCTTGCAGGTCTGGTACATGTAACATATCTTTGATATTCTGGTAGGCACAAGTGCACATGCTGCAGTTTTGTTTACCAGGACTTATTGTGAACTTGTGATAGTTAAAGTAGTCTTGGTGAAAATATAGTTTGCTTGCATGACATATCAGCTTGAATTGTGTGGAACTGAGGTCTGACAACAATTATTTTGTATTTAATTTATGCTAATTTAAATGGTCTCTGAGTAGCTCAGATACAGAAGTGCGACATGGTGTAACATACATATGCTGTCAATTTGTTTGTCTTAAAAGCAATTATGCGTCCTCAGATTGCTATCAAGATGAAAATTTTCCTATTTCATATGGCTTCAGATGTGTGCAATCTTTGCTGCAGCTCTAGTATGATGATAATCAATCAGTTACAATTCTGTGTGTAATTCAGGTACCAGATGCAATGGATTATCTTCTGGCTGAGTTCAACAAAGTTTGCATGTACACAGTTCCAAAGCATCTCCATGCTTTAAATGTACGTCTTGATGTGACTGAACTTTTTAGCAGCGCTTTCTTATCTTCTTGCTTATATTTGAGGTGGTGAAAAAACAGAAGCCGTTATGTTTTTGGTGTTGCCATTTCTTGGAGGATGTGCCCAAAAGATACAATATTTCAAATCTCAGAGTTATATCTATGTTTAAACTGTGAATGCACCTGATTTTATGGTTTGGAAATGTGTACTATTTTGATATTTTTTGGCCCATATATTTGGCTTATATTTTGGATTATCTCATCATCTGTAATTGCTTAGGCACAAGCACGAAACACAGATTACTTCAGGCTTATTGGCTACCAGGAAGAAGATGGAAAACTTCAGAGCACTGAGAAGTATTTGGTAAATGTTGTTGCATACGTCAAACTCTATGCTGCCATGATTCAGGTGTGTATAGTCCTTGTCTGACATAATCAGTTTGGTAAAAACATCAATTAAGTCTGATTGAGATTTGGTAGTAAATATGCATTTTATGTTCTGTCCTTTCCGTAACAATAGGCTGTTTTCCTGTTAACTGCAATCCATTATTTTTAATTTCAGCACAGTGATAACAAGTTACGTTTTGCCATGGTTTGTGCAATGACAACATGATGAACCTTGACAAGTTATTATGTACTCCCTCCGTCCCAAAATTCTTGTCTTAGATTTGTCTAGATACGGATGTATCTAATACTAAAACGTGACTTGATACATCCGTATTTAGACAAATCTAAGACAAGAATTTTGGGATGGAGGCAGTACCATGTTGTATGCTATCACATTATACTTAAATAGAAGACTTGTGTTCAACAAACTGCTGTTTTTCAGTAGAGCAGAAATATGACCGCATAACTTTGTCTACAGACAGAAATCAAAGGTGTGCGGCATCCACATGGCTTAGCCGAGGGATGGAAATGGCTTGCAATGTTCCTCAATACTATCCCGGCGATCCCTGCCACTGCTTTTGCTCTTCATGCTTTCCTCAAGGTAGAGATCCGCATCAGGACTTGTGTGCCGTGTGTCTGACTATCTGTGTATGCAGACTTGTAGCTAACCAGGATTGTTCTTCTTTTAGGTCGCTGGTTTTGCGCTTCACAAGAAATATGGATCACAGTTCATGAAAATTCTAGATGTAATATCGCGGCACTTCATACCAGCTTTGAAAGCACAAGGTTCGAAAGTTCAGCCAGAGGCTATCAATAATCTACAGAATTATCTGAATGACAAAATTTATCTGGAGGAGCCAGAAGGGCAGTACCTTGCCCAGCAGCTGCTATCGAAAATGTTCTTGTGAAAATTAACATCAGATCGGCATGGAGAGCTATCAGCTATGATTAGCAGCAGTAGTTGCCAGTTGGTGCATCTATTTCGTCCGAGGGAGTAAGCTCCGTGGGTGTAACTTATGGAGAAGCCTAAAATTGTCTTGAAGATTATTTTGGATGGACTTCCACCATGTTACTCCCTCCGATCCAAATTACTTTTCGCTCGAATGGATGTATCTAGCCTGAAATATGTCTAAGATATGGATCGGGGGGAGTAGTAAATTAGGATAGAAGTGCCACTTGGTGGAGGTCATGCGATTTCTTGTGATGTATACTATGGGATGCAAACCTTATGTCAGTTTGAAGTCAACGTTGTTCTGAATATAATTCATCTGCGTTGATCAAATTATTGTTTGTAACATAAACACTTGATAAATCATATTAGATGTCATATATCTGCTTATGAATTATTGGTAGTCGTAGCACCAGGATGTTCAGTGCAGCTGTGCACGCCCTTTCCATGCATCTCTTTCAGGCCTCAGCATCAGTCCAGTTCTCCGGACCCCACAAGGTCTGCAGTTGCACTCTCCTTGGCCAATTGCAGAGCCGAGTATGAGATGGGGATAAAGCTACGGCTAAAAGCCTAAAACCTCCTGCCTGAGAGCAAGCCAAGAAAATGGCAGCACCACCTCTCAGCCTCGCACGCCGCGTCGCCGGCGCCTCCTCCCCTGCCGCCGCGGCGCATTCCTCCTCCTGTCCCCGTTACTTTCGTCCTCGCCTGCTCCCTTCAAAGGTACGCGGTTTTGTCTCCTGCGTTTTCCTGTGCTCTTTCTGTGCCCTGAGCTGCCGGTGGTTGTGTGCGTGCAGCGGTGGAGTGGGGTGGTGAAGATGGGGGCGGCAGTGGGAGGCGGGCAGGGGGGCGAGGAGGAGGAGACGAGGCAGGCCAAGGAGATGGCCGCTGCCAGGAGGCGGTGGGAGACGCTGGTGAGCTCACGCCTTTCTACTCTTCTCATTTCGTTTACACTACGCGTCTACAGTACCACCGGTTGTGCAAACCTCCTCTGAAGTTGCTTTCATCTCGGAATCACGGCGCTCTTAGCTTAAGCTTTGTCGTTTGAATTCGGCATCCATGTGTGTAATGCATGTATGAATCTCTAAATGATGAACTGCTGTTATTTGTATGGCTGTGGAATGCTCTGCTTGAAGATCAGGGAGCAGAAGATCAAGACCCTTACACCAAGGGAAGCTGGCTATACATTCAAACTCACGGACAAGGTCCTTCTGGATGTTAGGCCTTCAAATGAGCGTCAAAAGGTTGGTGGTAGGACTAACAACCATTTCTAGTGTTGGTTAATCGTCGATGCTCACATTTTCCTGTCCTTTGCTCGTATCGCAGGCCTGGGTGAAAGGTTCTACCTGGATTCCAGTATTCGATGTGGATACATCGTCTGATTTGAATGGCCTCAGCAAGAAAGCATTCAACTTTATGATTGGTATGCCAAATGGAGTTCTGGCTACATCGTTGGATCTGACTGTTGCTAGCACTACTGTCTTGAAGGCATTTGTTCAACTTTGTTCGCACTATTTCATTATAAAAGTTGCCATAGAAGGACCATAGCATGGAGTGATTCTTCAGAATAGACAATCCAGACTGGAGACTAATAAGCTAATAGTGCATCAAACACAGTTACGAGATATAAAACAGGCCTTTTCTTTCAACATAGATTGACTTATTTTCAACTCATACAATACCATCGTTTGTAGTATGTCAGCTCATATGGTACCACCATTTGCAGTTCTAGACTTCAAGTGTGACTAAACTCTCATCACTCTTGCATAATAGGTGGCTGGTGGAGTGGCAGCTCAACAATGTCATTCAATAAGTATGCTTGGCATTTGTTAAAACTTGGGCCTCTCATGAATTGTATTTTAAAACCAATTTGATTGACTGACTTTACAACAAATTCCTAGGAACTTTGTACAGCAGACCGAGGAGAAGTTCTCAAAAGATGCAGATATCATCCTAGTATGCCAGAAGGGACTGAGGTAATTGCTTGTTAGCTCACTTTCTAAGTTTCTGATGTTGGATTTGTACTGCTTATTAGCTCATTTTCTGACTTTCTGATGCTGGATTTGCACTGCATGACACACTGACAACACATACTCGTACCTTTTCACCTTGCTGGCCTTCATGGAAGTTAAATCATCTCATCATCCTATGTTCTTTATGGAGCACTGTTTTTTTATGCTGTATTTAGACTCACCATGTGACTAGAAAGGTCTCTACCGTTTCCTGGACACCGGCGCATACCACTTCTTAAACTTGAGCTTTGTGTGGCATGCTGCTCATACACACAAGATGCTATTTCAACTACCTAAATCTTGGACAAATGATTCTAAAAGAAATCTTGAACAAAATATCACTCTTTCAGTCATTGCACTCTAGTAATTTAAGGTTGCATCTGCCCATCGTATTGGTGCTACTGCTACATCTTGTAGCGTCCATCATAGAACATTTGCGATTCAACGTCCGGTGTGGATTTTTGTCTGACAGTTTTGATATCCCCAAAAATGTTTGGCAGATCAATTGCTGCCGCAGAGCAACTTTACAATGCTGGCTTCAAAATTTTATTCTGGGTACAAGGAGGATTGGAAGCTGCTGAAGAGGAGGTAGGAGTAGGAGTCATCTTATGATCTTCTATTTTGGAGTTATATTAATTTCATGTTTTTTTCTCTTTATAGGACTTTGAGCGGGAAGGTTCCCAGCCTTTCAAGCTTGCTGGTATCGGTGGGGTTTCTGAATTTTTTGGGTAAGTTCCAGGACCTCAACACCTATGATAATGTCAGTGTGACGGTGTTATTTTCCTCACCAAAATGTGTGCACCAAGGCCTTGTATTAAGGTTGAAGATTTTCCTGTGAGATACAAGCTACGAGCTTGCCACCAACCTAAGACCTGAGCGATCAGATTACAGTACACATGTAGATAAGCATGATACTGTGTTTTCTAATCATTCTGAGATGATCCAAATATGTTTCAGCATTCCACAAAAGCATTCAGCATCGTTAGTGAAATGACATCCACTAGGGTACTAATCCTGAATCTTTTTTGACAACTTGGTTTCAGCTGGACGGATCAGCAACGTGCACAGGCTGCAAAGGAAGGATGGGGATATCGGCTGCTCTTCACGGGCCGATTGGTAATTCGTTTTGAAAAATATGCATGTACTTAACTCTTGTCTGCAATGGAAAGATCTTTAAACATTCTTCTTCTTCCTCGAACCACACAGGTTGGAGCAATTGTGCTAGCAGATGCTCTGTTTGTGGGTGCCCAAAGTATTGGCCCTCTGCTTCAACAATTACAGCCTCATTAACTGATCGATTCCGAGGAAGATGCTGTGGTGTTCAAGCTAACTTGAAGGCATCATTTCGGGCGTTCATCTTGAGAGAGACCCAAAACAACTGCACGAGGACACAGTTAGGCCGTTCCTCATGCCTGCTATGATAACACACGGAGACGGAATGTTCTTTCCTAGAAGTATCTAGTTATGAATCTAGAGCCTCATTTCTGACTCGATGAATTACAGAAGTTCAGGCCGCACAGGATAATTATGATTTCGTGGAATTCTCCTGTTGAAAATTCTGTTCAGAAAATCTTGAGTCTCAAAATATCACATAAAAAATATCACATGTGTGGATATAAATCTCATTGTGTTAGTGACCCTGCCCAAGAAGGCCCACATGCCAGGATCGTCAAGACAGCCAGCGCCGCGCGCACAAGAGCAACCCACGCTACACCGGCCCAGAATGGGTGAACAAGGCCGGCCCGACCCGGAGCACTACTGAAGCCAGCGACCCCCTCCTCCTAGGGTACCCGGTGGATCACGGCAAACGGCACCCGGCGGCTACCAACTCCTGATCCGATCCCCTTTCTTCCTCCTCGCTAGAACCCTAGCTACCTCCTGAACTGTGTAATTGCTACCTAAATTTGTATCTATGAGTGAGATTGCCACCAAATACTTGAGCTACCTAGTGTGTCCCTTACATCTGGTATCAGTCGCCACCACCACCATTCCTATCGCGTGGTCTGGCGCAGTTCATCGAGACGCGAAGTCTGCGTCACGCACGACTGCAATTGGAGCACATGGATCCCGCGGTCAAAACCTACCTCGACAAGCTTACCTCCATGATGGAGGCCAACACCGCGGCGCTCACGGCGGTCACCACCCGCCTCGACGATCTGGCGGCGTGGCGGCCCGATCTGGAGCGACGCGTGGCCGATCTGGGGGGACGCGGTCGCTGTGCTTCAGCAAGAGCGACCCGGCAACAACGACACCAACGGCGGGGGCACCCAGGCGCCAGCTCCCATGGCGCCACCGCCAGCGGCCCGTGGCACTCCTCTACGTGTTGCGGAGGGCGCGGCGGATGCTTCACGCGGGTCCGATGACCACGACGTGTTCCATCTGCAACGGGTGACGTCGGCGGTGTCATTCCAGACACCACCGCCGCTCCCGCCCAACGGTCAGATCGAGATCCCTTCTCCTAGTGCTTTACCATCACCGTTCGCGCATGCTAGTCAAATGCTGGCGGGGCTGGGTCAGGCGCATCGTCGATAGCCTTTTCGCAGTTCTCGGGGGAAAATCCCAATCTGTGGAAGACTATGTGTGAACAATACATTAACATGTTCAGGATACATGACTCTTTTTTGGTTCCCATGGCCGCCCTGAATTTTTCGGGCTCGGCTGCTATATGGCTTCAGTCCATCCAGAAGAAACTAGGATCATTTACTTGGGAGTCCTTTGTCGCTCTGCTTTGTACTAGATTTGGGCGAGATAGACAACAAATGCTAATTCGCCATTTCTACACCATTAAGCAAACTACCTCAGTAGTTGATTTCATAGAGAAATTTGAGCTTATTACAAATCGTTTGAGTTCATATTCAGACGCGATTCACCCATTCTACTTTCTTACTCGTTTTGTGGAAGGGCTAAGACCGGATATCAGGGCGGTGGTCATGGTGCAACGACCACCGGACCTGGACACAACGTGCGCCCTGGCTCTGCTGCAGGAGGAGGTGGCAGACGGGGCGCACACAGAGCCATTCAGGCAATCAGCGGCGCGGCCGCCTGACCATACGGCACGATTGCCAACAGCGCTGCCCCTGCCTCCTCCACCAGGACGTGCCCCGCCACAGGCAGGGGCGACTGATCGGCGCGGCACGGATGCAGCAAGAGCAGAAGCAGCAAAAATCAAGACCCTCCAAGATTACCGAAGGGCACGAGGATTATGCTTCAAGTGCGGCGAGCGCTAGGGCCAAGAACACGTGTGCCCCACCTCGGTGCAGCTCCACGTCGCGGAGGAGCTGCTGGAGCCCTTCGGCATCGACGCGTCGGCAGAAATGCAGGACAAAACACCAGAAGAACCAGGACAAGCCATAGTCATGGCGATCTCGAGATCAGGAGCGATAGGAGGTGTGTCCCAGAAGGTGTTTCAACTCCGCGCTTGGATTCAGGGCCGAGAGGTGCTGATGTTGGTCGAATCAGGCAGCACCAACTCCTTCATCAACAAGCGTTTTGCCGAGGGAATCAAGGGCGTGCAGCCATTTTCAAGGGCTTACAAGGTGCGCGTGGCGGACGGAGGGGAGCTGATATGTTCCTCACATGTGCCAGAATGCACATTGTGCTCCCAGGGGCAGGGGCACCAGTTCTGTGACGCCCCCGATTCAATCATACACTAATCATACACGCAAATGTGTACGATCAAGATCAGGGACTCACGGGAAGATATCACAACACAACTCTACAAATAAAATAAGTCACAAGCATCATATTACAAGCCAGGGGCCTCGAGGGCTCGAATACAAGAGCTCGATCATAGACGAGTCAGTGGAAGCAACAATATCTGAGTACAGACATAAGTTAAACAAGTCTGCCATAAAAAGGCTAGCACAAATAGGGATACATATCGAAAGAGGCGCAGGCCTCCTGCCTGGGATCCTCCTAAACTACTCCTGGCCATCGTCAGCGACCTACACATAGTAGTAGGCACCTCCAGCATAGTAGGAGTCATCGTCGACGGTGGCGTGTGGCTCCTGGACTCCGTCATCTGGTCGCAGCAATCGGGTATAGAAAGGGGGGAATGGGGAGCAAAGCAACCGTGAGTACTCATCCAAAGTACTCGCAAGCAAGGAGCTACACTACATATGCATGCATTGGTATCAAATGGAAAAGGGATAGCATATGTGGACTGAACTGCAGAATGCTGGAATAAGAGGGGGATAGCTAGTCCTATCGAAGACTACGCTTCTGGTAACCTCCATCTTGCAGCAGAAGAAGAGAGTAGATGGTAAGTTAACCAAGTATCATCGCATTGCATAATCCTACCCGGTGATCCTCCCCTCGTCGCCCTGTGAGAGAGCGATCACCGGTTGTATCTGGCATTTGGAAGGGTGTGTTTTATTAAGTATCCGGTTCTAGTTGTCATAAGGTCAAGGTACAACTCCGGGTCGTCCTTTTACCGAGGGACACGGCTATTCGAATAGATTAACTTCCCTGCAGGGGTGCACCACATTTCCCAACACGCTCGATCCCCTTTGGCCGGACACACTTTCCTGGGTCATGTCCGGCCTCGGAAGATCAACACGTTGCAGCCCTACCTAGGCACAACAGAGAGGTCAGCACGCCGGTCTAAATCCTATGGCGCGGGGGTCTGGGCCCATCGCCCATTGCACACCTGCACATTGCGAGTGAAGGAAATATGCCCTAGAGGCAATAATAAAGTTATTATTTATTTTCTTATATCATGATAAATGTTTATTATTCATGCTAGAATTGTATTAACCGGAAACATAATACATGTGTGAATACATAGACAAACAGAGTGTCACTAGTATGCCTCTACTTGACTAGCTCGTTAATCAAAGATGGTTATGTTTCCTGACCATGAACAATGAGTTGTTATTTGATTAACGAGGTCACATCATTAGTTGAATGATCTGATTGACATGATCCATTCCATTAGCTTAGCACCTGATCGTTTAGTATGTTGCTATTGCTTTCTTCATGACTTATACATGTTCCTATGACTATGAGATTATGCAACTCCCGTTTGCCGGAGGAACACTTTGGGTGCTACCAAACGTCACAACGTAACTGGGTGATTATAAAGGAGCATTACAGGTGTCTCCAAAGGTAGATGTTGGGTTGGCGTATTTCGAGATTAGGATTTGTCACTCCGATTGTCGGAGAGGTATCTCTGGGCCCTCTCGGTAATGCACATCACATAAGCCTTGCAAGCATTGCAACTAATGAGTTAGTTGCGAGATGATGTATTACGGAATGAGTAAAGAGACTTGCCGGTAACGAGATTGAACTAGGTATTGGAATACCGACGATCAAATCTCGGGCAAGTAACATACCGATGACAAAGGGAACAACGTATGTTGTTATGCGGTCTGACCGATAAAGATCTTCGTAGAATATGTAGGAGCCAATATGGGCATCCAGGTCCCGCTATTGGTTATTGACCGGAGACGTGTCTCGGTCATGTCTACATTGTTCTCGAACCCGTAGGGTCCGCACGCTTAAGGTTTCGATGACAGTTATATTATGAGTTTATGAGTTTTGATGTACCGAAGGAGTTCGGAGTCCCGGATGAGATCGGGGACATGACGAGGAGTCTCGAAATGGTCGAGACGTAAAGATCGATATATTGGACGACTATATTCGGATATCGGAAAGGTTCCGAATGATTCGGGTATTTTTCGGAGTACCGGGTAGTTACGGGAGAAGTAATGGGCCTTGATGGGCTTTAGTGGGAAGAGGAAATAGGCTGCTGCGCCCCCCCCTCCCCTTTGGTCCGAATTGGACTAGGGAAAAGGGGGCCGGCCACCTCTCCTTCTCCTCCTATTCCTTCTCCCTTCCTCCCCTCTTGGTGGACTCCTACTAGGACTTGGAGTCCTAGTAGGACTCCCTATCCTGGCCGCACCTTTGCCTTGGCCGGCCTCCTCCTCCTCCATCCTTTATATACGGAGGCAGGGGCACCTCTAAACACACAAGTTGACACAAGTTGATCCACGTGATCGATTCCTTAGCCGTGTGCGGTGCCCCCTGCCACCATATTCCTCGATAATACTGTAGCGGAGTTTAGGCGAAGCCCTGCTGCTGTAGTTCATCAAGATCGTCACCACGCCGTCGTGCTGACGAAACTCTTCCCCGACACTTTGCTGGATCGGAGTCCGGGGATCGTCATCGAGCTGAACGTGTGCTCGAACTCGGAGGTGCCGTAGTTTCGGTGCTTGATCGGTTGGATCGTGAAGACGTACGACTACTTCCTCTACGTCGTGTCATCGCTTCCGCAGTCGGTCTGCGTTGGGTACGTAGACAACACTCTCCTCTCGTTGCTATGCATCACATGATCCTGTGTGCGCGTAGGAAAATTTTTGAAATTACTACGAAACCTAACAAGAACATCCTAAAATACCTGAAAAGGACTAAGGATATGTTTCTCGTATATGGAGGTGACAAAGAGCTCACCGTAAAAGGTTACGTTGATGCAAGCTTTGACACTGATCCGGACGATTCTAAATCGCAAACCGGATACGTGTTTACATTAAACGGTGGAGCTGTCAGTTGGTGCAGTTCTAAACAAAGCGTTGTAGCGGGATCTACATGTGAAGCGGAATACATAGCTGCTTCGGAAGCAGCAAATGAAGGAGTCTGGATGAAGGAGTTCATATCCGATCTAGGTGTCATACCTAGTGCATCGGGTCCAATGAAAATCTTTTGTGACAATACTGGTGCAATTGCCTTGGCAAAGGAATCCAGATTTCACAAAAGGACCAAACACATCAAGAGACGCTTCAACTCCATCCGGGATCTAGTCCAGGTGGGAGACATAGAGATTTGCAAGATACATACGGATCTGAATGTTGCAGACCCGTTGACTAAGCCTCTTCCACGAGCAAAACATGATCAGCACCAAGACTCCATGGGTGTTAGAATCATTACAGTGTAATCTAGATTATTGACTCTAGTGCAAGTGGGAGACTGAAGGAAATATGCCCTAGAGGCAATAATAAAGTTGTTATTTATTTCCTTATAATCATGATAAATGTTTATTATTCATGCTAGAATTGTATTTACCGGAAACATAATACATGTGTGAATACATAGACAAACAGAGTGTCACTAGTATGCCTCTACTTGACTAGCTCGTTAATCAAAGATGGTTATGTTTCCTAACCATGAACAATGAGTTGTTATTTGATTAACGAGGTCACATCATTAGTAGAATAATCTGATTGACATGACCCATTCCATTAGCTTAGCACCCGATCGTTTAGTATGTTGCTATTGCTTTCTTCATGACTTATACATGTTCCTATGACTATGAGATTATGCAACTCCCGTTTACCGGAGGAACACTTTGGGTACTACCAAACGTCACAACGTAACTGGGTGATTATAAAGGAGTACTACAGGTGTCTCCAATGGTCGATGTTGGGTTGGCGTATTTCGAGATTAGGATTTGTCACTCCGATTGTCGGAGAGGTATCTCTGGGCCCTCTCGGTAATGCACATCACATAAGCCTTGCAAGCACTGCAACTAATATGTTAGTTGTGAGATGATGTATTATGGAACGAGTAAAGAGACTTGCCGGTAACGAGATTGAACTAGGTATTGGATACCGACGATCGAATCTCGGGCAAGTAACATACCGATGACAAAGGGAACAACGTATGTTGTTATGCGGTCTGACCGATAAAGATCTTCGTAGAATATGTAGGAGCCAATATGGGCATCCAGGTCCCGCTATTGGTTATTGACCGGAGACGTGTCTCGGTCATGTCTACATTGTTCTCGAACCCGTAGGGTCCGCACGCTTAAGGTTACGATGACAGTTATATTATGAGTTTATGCATTTTGATGTACCGAAGGTTGTTCGGAGTCCCGGATGTGATCACGGGCATGACGAGGAGTCTCGAAATGGTCGAGACATAAAGATTGATATATTGTAAGTCTATGTTTGGACATCGGATGTGTTCCGGGTGAAATCGGGATTTTACCGGGTTACCGGGAGGTTACCGGAACCCCCCGGGAGCCATATGGGCCATCATGGGCCTTAGTGGAAAGGAGAAAGGGGCAGCCCAAGGGGGCTGCGCGCCTCCCCCCTTCCCCTAGTCCTATTAGGACTAGGAGAGGTGGCCGGCCACCCCTCTCCCTCTTTCCCCCTTGGGAATCCTAGTTGGAATAGGATTGGGGGGGGGGGGAGTCCTACTCCCGGTAGGAGTAGGACTCCTCCTGCGCCACCTCCTCCTGGCCGGCGCCTCCTCCCCCCTTGGCTCCTTTATATACGGAGGCAGGGGCACCTCTAAACACACAAGTTGACACAAGTTGATCCACGTGATCGATTCCTTAGCCGTGTGCGGTGCCCCCTGCCACCATATTCCTCGATAATACTGTAGCGGAGTTTAGGCGAAGCCCTGCTGCTGTAGTTCATCAAGATCGTCACCACGCCGTCGTGCTGACGAAACTCTTCCCCGACACTTTGCTGGATCGGAGTCCGGGGATCGTCATCGAGCTGAACGTGTGCTCGAACTCGGAGGTGTCGTAGTTTCGGTGCTTGATCGGTTGGATCGTGAAGACGTACGACTACTTCCTCTACGTCGTGTCATTGCTTCCGCAGTCGGTCTGCGTTGGGTACGTAGACAACACTCTCCTCTCGTTGCTATGCAT